GGGTTGGGGAGCCGCCGCCGCCGCGCCTCACGCGCGAGTGAGAAGACATCTTCCTCGCCCCTGGCGCGGGCGTCGGAGGTCCGGGGCGCCCCAAACGGGCCACCAGGAAGAGGGGGAGGGGAGGAAACAAGACGCCGTCCCGCCAGCCCTCCCCTGGTTCTCGGCTACACGTATCTTCTCTCACACACGCACACGCGCGCGCGCACGGGGGGACACTCGTGAAGCCCGTCTGGCCGAGGCGACTGCTCCTCATCAACAATAGTGGCCGCAGCAGCCTCTCCCATTGGAGGCGCGTCAACCCCGTTCCTGCCGCTACAGCGTTCTGATTGGCTGGGAGGCGTGGCCGAGGAGGTGAGACGGCTGGGGAGGCTTAAAGGGACCGTGAGAGAGCGATGACCCTGGCGAAAGAGGCAGCGCAGGGGCGAGGGTTGAGCTGGGCTGGGCTGGGCTGGGCTGGGCCGGGCCAGGCCAGTGCCTTTGGCTGCTTTTGAGGACGCATTTGCAAACTGCGCCCCCAGTCGCCCTGGTCAAGAGGGCAACCCTGGTCTGGCGCATCGTTATAGGAAGAGCAGGAAGCAAGCAGGAAACACCTCGAGCACGTTTCCCGTTTTTACCAGTAGAAATGCGATGATCAATTAAGTCTGAAGCAATCTGTTGTCTGAGGCAGCCGCATCGCTCGCCTAGTGGTAGGATCCGCCCTGTTGGTAAATAAAAAGCACAGCCATGTAATCAATTAGTAAACGCAAAAATTAGCCTTGAGTAGCACCTTTACTGGATCAATAAAATGCACTAATGATCTCATAAAAATATTACTCAGCTCTTCGTAGTGCCACACCCACACAACATAGCCAAGAGTAAACAAGCCAGTACCATATGCTGCAGCATTCAAGACAATGCTAGAGTACTGAGTTTCCACTCTGTTTCCAGGAATGCTACAGGCATGAAATCCTGGTCTTGAAGTCCAGCAATTGTAAGATTTTATGCAGGAACTGCATCCATGGGCCACTCATACGTATCCTGAAATAGAGAGTCATCAACTTGTGCACCAGTGCATGCACTCCAAACATCTAGTGGCACATTCTGGGCTATTCTCAAGCCTACAGTCTCATAACCCATCCACATAACCATCACAGACGTATCAAGTCAGGAATAATTCATGAGTATGATTGATCTTTCCCTTCATATCCATTGGGCTAATATGTCTATGGGCTGTACATGTAGCCTCCCCCCATTGGACATGACCCTATCATTCTATATTATTTTTGTACAATCATTAGCTATCTTTAACAGTAAAATATGCTTACATGCAGTGAACAGTGCAAACTTTGAGGAGGAAGAGGGGCTATTTAACTTTGCTGCCCATTAAGCCCATTCATTGGGGCAAATATGTAGATAGGCTCTTAAATCATTTCGGCACATATTGCTGTCCATTCTCATTCCATAACTGGAGCTCCAGCCCTTAAAGCTGCATTTTTTTTATTTATTTATTTATTTATTGTCTGCAGATGATGGTTCAACATATTCCACTGGGAATAAAATAGGGTAGGCTGATTAGATGGAAGTCACTCTTATTGGCTCTTTACATTGTATTTTGCACTGTAGTCACGGGAATGTACTATATGCCCAAATAGTGAGGTTCTGTCTACATGTGCTCAACAGAAGTGGGCTGGATTGGTCTAAATAGGGTCACTACAGGTTGCAGAGAGGTCTAGTATGACATTTAGTGCAATCCTTGCATCCAAATGGCGTATGCACCTCAGGCAACCCCATCTAGTCCAGTTCCTGCTGTCTATTTGTCATATTGTTGAGCGACTTAAGGAGAGAGCCATTTCAGCACACAGTATTAGCAAATTCAACACTTCCTCTTGACAGCAGCAGGCAAGTTAACTGCCACATGGCTTCACTTGGTTCATTTCCAGGCAACTGCATGCACCAAATGAACCAAAATGGAGCAACCTTACCCACAACAAAAAAAGTAGAAGCCCTTGAGGGCCTTAGAAAGGTGTAGATAGGAATGCACTGGGAATAGGCTGGTTAGCTCCAGCGATTATGTTGTGTGATCACCAGAAAAAGAAGTGAACCAGTTCCTTACAGCAACAGATCAAACAGTGGGTGAAATGCCTGTCTGATTGCACCCTCAGTTAGGCAAGGTACAGCGTATGACTGTTAGTCATCTAGGATTCAAACACAGGAACTGCTCTTTATCTGAACAACACAGTAACTAAGAAACTGTAATGCCCCAACTATGAATTCAGAAACACTAATCACTACAGCTTTTCTGAGTCTGTAACACTTCAGAGTGATGGAGTATTCCCTCACGTCAAAAACTCCTTGTGTACAGGATACTAGTAGGTAAGCGATTTAGCTAGAATTCTTCTCAGTCATATGCCAACTGTCCATAACACCAATAACTGCATTCCGAAGTACAATAGCCCAAAGAGAGCCATACTAAATTATATATTTTTACAGTGCAAGTGGATTGCAATTTCATATTAAATGGTGGCTGCTTGATTTTTACAGATAGGAGCAGAGAGTAAAATCCGTGGTGCAAACTAGTACAAAATTGAGGATAGTACATTTTATGGAGATGAGCAGGTGTAAAGAAACTTCATGAAACAGGGGCTTCAGAATGTATTTACATATAGCCCTAAGCCCAATATGGGAAGCAACTGACTTTAAATAAAAACAGAATGATTGCTGATCAGAAGAAAAACATATGTATGTTCTTGAAGAGACTGTTTTATTTATTTATTTATTTGTTTGTTTGTTTGTTTGTTTGTTTGTTTGTTTGTTTACAAGAGTTTTTAGCTGTGCCATTACCAATGTTATTTTAAAAAATAACAGAAGGGGCTTTCATGAACAAGAGGATTTTAAAGACCACATATACAACAGTGTGGTATATTCAGTTGAGCTACAAAACCGAAAAGATCTATCGCTTACAGTAACACGGAGAGGTATAAAAACTATGTGGGCCAGTCCAAAGCGCCAATGGAAATTTAAAATATCCGAGCAAATAAAAAGCTTCTAGTCCTCACAGAGGCAAGCAAGGCAAGTCAGCGGCCAACATGCAGTTTTGATGGTGCCATTTGTTCGTAAGATGACCATGCCGTGTAGTCCACCTCAGACGTTGGGATGTTACAGCGGTTAACGAAGTCTCCTCGTTTCCTCTTGTTGCCATGAATAATTTTCTTTCTATAAAACACACACACACACAAACCCTGTCTGGGGCAGAACCAAGCCCCTCACTCAGATTTGGGGTGACAAGATGCTTTCCACTCAAGCCACCTTAGAAGTTTCCTTGGTGGTCTTGACCATGACTGTCTGAACTCCCAGCCCAGACAAGCCTCCCACTGACTCCTCCCGGGGGCATTGTTCTTCAAAATCGACCATCCTGGGAAAATAAGGGTCTTCCATTGGGGGGGGCGAAGTTTCACCCCAGGGCTTCGAGAGACAGAAGACGCAGGTGGATGTCTCAGGATCGGGCCAACGAAGGGAGGATGTCTTCTCTCTTGACGAGGATGATGGTGATCTCGATCTTCGTCCATTTAATGTCCTTCCTCCAGTCCAGGCTTTGCTCGCCATCATCTTTGACGAGTATCCCCAATGGGCTTTTTGGGGACGCCTCCGCCTCCTTCTGCCGCCTCCCAATTAGGGTCCCCCGCTTCCCCTGAGAGGTCCGCTGCCGTCTCGGCCCCCTGGGGCATCCCCTCAGAACCCAGACCCATCTTCTCCTGGAAGAGAAAAGGGGGGGAAACGGTGACGACGGGAGCCACGGACCAGGATCCGACTTGCCATGGGATCTGGCCGAGCACTCCTGGTGGCCCGTGGGGTGGACGCTCCACCACCCAACCTGGTTGAAACTCCATGGGTCTAGGGGGGAATCCCAGGGGCTGAGGGGAGATATTTAGCCCACCACCATCCCTGGCTTCAGCACCCACCGTGAAGGGATTCTGGTCACTGCCCCAAGAGGGGTGCGGGGGTCTTCGCTGATTAACTCCTTCATCTCTTTCAGAGAGGGGTCTGAATAATCTTGGTGGCTGAGCCAGAAAAGAGTTTTAGGGTCCCCGGAGGGAGAAACCCATGACATCCTTCTCACACAGGCCCATGGAAATACTCACACTCGAAAACATGCTTAGGGGCTGATAACTGTCTGGCAAAACGCTAAAACAGGGGCGTGGCCCACAGAGCATCCCCTTCACACCACCGTCCAGAGGAGGCTCCAACGGTCAACTGGCCAACTGACCATTGAGCCCAGAGGTGGACATTCCACCAAGACCCCCCCCCTTTGGAACGTCAACTGTCCTGTGTATCCTGGCAACGGGCTCCTCCCTGCCCCA